TTTTTTTTAAAGCAATGAATGTTGATACCAAAGTGCAAATCAAGAACTACTAAATATCTTTACGGAGACATCACATTCAACTAAAAATTGAACAGGATTAAAGGAATTCTAAACACCAGGTCACAGCTTGAGTGACATTATAGGTATTTTTATTGATATCTAGATCTTTCTCTTGTTTATCACACACCAAAACAGGAGAAGCACAGAGAAAAATCTAGAGCCGTTATCTATATACATATAATATCTATGTAGGTACACTACTAAGTAGCCCCATAGCACTGGGATGAACAGTTTTGAAATTAAACTTATTTATGATGCAAACTGTAAGTAGGGCTACTTGCTGATTTACAAAACATTCTCAGCTGTTCATTCAACATGTAAGTATTCCTTTAAAATTACAGAAATGTGTTTTTAAAAGCTGCACGTAGGTCTACGAAAAGGTTTGATTTTTGTCTGCCTTCCTGTCGCACCCTCTCCATATGAACAGTTTTTCACATGTTCCTGCTTAGATTTAGCCAATTATCGTTTGATCTTTTTCTAGCAGGCAGCATACGTAGCAGTGAAACCATAGACCTGGCTTTGAATGCATAGACAGTAAACATAACATATAACGATCCCAGTTCCGCTCCTGAGACATATGTTCAAAAGATGGCAAACTAGTCACTTGGTTGTTTGTATGAAATTCACAGTGTTTCCCCTACAACATACTTTTTTTTTTTTGCTTCATATTTGCAATGAATGTATAACATTAAAATAAAGGATTTTATTTTAGGATACCTTAACCGGCTGCCAATATCCTGAGAAGAAACCTCTCTTTGTGGCCATCAAAGTGGGAATCCAGATATCTGCAGTCTGGATAGTACAGTATGTGCCTAGTATTAACCATGGCTGTATATGAGTCTCTTGAATTAGAGCAGCCATCCCTCTGGGCTGAAGAAAACACTCCCATGTGTGCCATCAAAAGTTTCATTTAGCTAGAAAGCTCCAACTCATGCATATTTTTCAAAGTGGCACTCACAGTTCAATCACGGGTTGCACCAAACCCAAGATGATCTTCTTAATAAACTAAGTTAATTGGATAGTCTTCTTCTGGGTTAGTGAGAATTAAATGATAAAAGTCAAAACATAACTGAAAAAGATATATACAAACATACACATACTCACATATACTGTACATATACACAGATACACATTCATTCATTCATTCCATGATGTGCTGTAAGGGAAAGCTTTCAATGGAGCAAGGCCTAGAGCAGGGGTCTCCAACCTTGGCAACTTTAAAACTTGTGGACTTCAACTCCCAGAATTCCTCAGGCAGCTTTGCTGGCCTAGAGGAGGAAAGGACAAGAAAGCTGCACTGGCCTACCTTAATGTCTCTTGCTTTTTGCCAGGTTGTAGATCAGAAGGATGAATTAGTTTCCTAGCTACTCATCTTTCTGAGGCAACAATTTGCAGCTTAGTCTAGGAGTTGTGAATTATAGGATAGGATGCCACCTAAATATCTATCCTCTCAAAAGAGGATCTGCAGTGCAAGATGCAACTACATGGTGGAGGAATGAAGAGAAAGAAAATTAATTAAACAAAATTGAGTCAAATTGCTGAGGAAGTAGGAAGTGCAGATCAAGGATCTTGACTCAGGTGGCTCCTAAATGACAACCATTTGTAAACAAGTGGTTTACAAATGATTATTTACAATCAAAGGTAAACAATTCCTGCAAGAAAGGCAACATCCCCGTGCCACAGCAGGAAATTTTTGTCACTACCAAGACTGCATTTTCATAGCAATCTAAAGAGTTTCATAAAATATATTTGTGGACATCCTTCCCTTCCCCAAAAAAGTCAAGAGTTAGCAGTACAGCTACTTCAAACAGGTCATTTCATTTCAGTTTCCTCATTATTATTCAGGGTTTGTTTTTTTTAAAAAAAATCCTAGACATTAGCTGTTTGAAGAAAGTCTTTTAATAAGTTCTTTTCAAATGCTGCTGGGCATTTTACTTTTGATAATATTTACTCTCCTTATATATAACTGCTCTTAATTGAAATGTAATATGAAAACAGCTGCAGTTAAGGCTTACAACTCAATTAAAAACAAGGCATATGAATTTGAAAAGCTCTGGCTAAAAGAAACCCATGAGTCAGGCTGGAGATAGGGCGGCATATATATCTCATTAAATAAATAAATAAATAAATAAATAAATAAATAAATAAATAAATAAATAAATAAATAAATAAATAAATAAATATTCAAAAGACCTGGGTGAGCAATAAGGTCTCCATGTGTTACTGGAAAGCCCATATAAATCATGTCAGAGAGTGAAACCATCCCAAAGCTTTACACACTAATGTTCAACCTCTTCGGGACAAGGACATTCTGAAAAAGAGTGATGGGCTTTCCTGACACAGGCCATTGAACAGAACAGAATAACAGAGTTGGAAGGGACCTTGTAGGTCATCTAGTCCAGCCCCCAGCCCAAGCAGGAGACCCTACACCAGGGGTGTCAAACTCACATCGTCACGTCGTCGTCACGTGACGTATCGGGACTCCCCCCCCCTTCGCTAGTGGCCATAGTGTTTAACTATAAACTATTTTCTTTTAAGAATGCAGTAATACAGGTAGTCCTCAAATGATCACAATTCAGCCCAAAATTTATGTCGCTAAGTGAGACTTTTGTTAAGTGAATTTTGTCTCATTTTACGGCCTTTCTTGCCAGAGTTATTAAGCGAATTGCTACAGTTGTTAAGTTAGTAACATGATTGTTAAGTGATTATGGCTTCCCCATTGACTTTGCTTATCAAAAGGTTGCAAAAGGGGATCACATGACCCCAGGACACTGCAGCCATCATAAATATGAGTCAGTTGCCAAGCGGTCAAATTTTGATCATGTGACCATGGGGATGTTGCAGTGATCCTAAAAAAAATAGTCATAGGTCACTTTTTTCAGTGCCGTTATAACTTTGAATGGTTGCTTAAATGAATTGTTGTAAGTCGAGAACTACCTGTACCCTGTGTAAACTCTTCTACAACCTATCTGGCTAAAAACAGTCCAATGCTGTCTGTAGTCACAAAGCTCCGTAAGCTTTAGATCATTTGGGAAATGGGAAATGTTTCCCCATTTAGTCCAACAAATGTAGAGGTTTTAAACTTCAATTGTTCCAATACTGTAGCTTGGGGAATTCTCTGAATCAGTCAGCCTGCTCCAGAGAGTGCATAGTTCTCATGAGTCTAATCAATATTTAAGGGGTGTATATACATTGTAAACAGCTATATCTGAGCTTTCATACTATCTAGGACTTGGGTATTTGCTTAAATTGTTTCTGAGGAAAAAAAATCAAACTCATTGGTGAACGATTTGGGAACTCTGTCAAACCCAACTTTGTTTGAGCTCTGCTGAGCAGCACCCATTTCCCTCATTCTGCATGATTCCAACCAGAAACAGGAATGTTCATTAAATAATAACTGGAAAAGACCTTGACAGTGATGGAGCAACTCCATGTATGTCTAACCAGAAGAAAGTTCTTCCAGTATTTTTAAAATAAATCTGTACAGGAGTATAGCTGTAGCAAATCTACCTCTTAGTCCTAAAGCCAACAACTAAAATCGATTTGAAAGAAATAAATAGATGGGAAGAAAACATTGAGGGATTTTTGGGTTGAGCAAATAATCTATATTTAAGAATTTCCTCTATTATGTAGATCTGTATGGAAGTTTAAAATTGACCTACCAAATATAGAAAAAACATACATTCATTTTTTTTAGAAATGGAAATTTTGGTTACTTAGCATACTCAGCCTATTCATATTACTGTCTTCTATACATCACCATTAAAATTGTATGTGTAGTTTACACATGCTTATACATATACACAATCACCAAAGTCTGCATATGTATAGATCAAATATTTATAAGACACATATTCAGGTATGTCTCTGTTCTTGATATATACAGAGTTTATGTAAACACACACACACACACATATTTATATATATTAGTGTATGTGTGTCTTTATACACTTATATTTGCAGCATAGGGAAGAAAGACATTCTCCTTAATAAGCGTGATTGTCACATTTGCTCAATGTAGAATGTTAGCTAACACTTTAAGCATGACAAATATATGCTATACACAATATTTATTAAAACCTTTCTTTCCTCTGGGTATGTACATGTGTGTACATGTATATCTGCATACATGTGTATACACACACAGAATATATATATATATAATATAATATAACATTATATATATATATATATATATATATATATATATATATATATATACACATACTTGTTTTCACTTGAATGTCTAAATGCAAATAAGTTAATATCATTCCTACAAGACAGTAGCTTCTATTCACAGGTCCACATTTACAGCACAACCCAAATTTTAGCCACACTGTACAGAATGCTGACTGTATAGAGCATTTGGTCCTTTAAAAAGGATATGTGGTTATGCTACTGCACACTACATTATAACACAGTACTTTTAATTACTCAATTATTCTTTTCCAGAAAGGAAAAAAAAAAGGATACCATCTAGTAAAAAATTACATCCATTTTGGTATACAATCCTTCAGCAATCATATAATACACATGCTTATTATTCTCAGACTAAAGCCATCTTCAAATTGATACATTTTAATGAAGCTGTTTTCCACGCTAACGTCTGTCTGCTAATCCAGCTGTTATCAAATTCAAGCTAATGTTCCACATATTTTCAGTTTTGATTTGTAGCACTCCCACCCACCCACCCCAAGACACAAATGCAACATCAATTTGTCCAGTGTGGAAAGGCAAAGTGCTATTAAGGCTCCTCAGAACACTCAGCACATTTTAAACTAGGTTCTTGTTGTTTATAGGTCATACCTGTTTTATTGGTTCCCTGTGATCAAGGCTGAATGATTAATGATAAATATCTTCTTAATTATCCCTTGAATGGCTTTTCTTAAGGACCTTATGCCAGCTTCTATTGCCCCTGATGAGGAAAGCCTTCACCACAATTTGCTTGGTGGAGTTTATTGGTTAAGTTTATTTTGAATAATGAAATAACATTTCCTTATTAAAAAATAAATTTCCAAGAGAAACAATCATTGCGGCTTCTCATTCTCCATCAGAAGAGAGAAACTGATGGGACATGCAAAGTGGGAGATCTTAATGAATATTAATTGGCAAAGGGCTTGCTGAGAATCTCTACTTGTGACTAAACATTATGGACTACAGAAAGATCTGGAATATAGAAAAGAACAGAGCTGAAAACCCACTACCATCAGAAGTATTGTGAGTAGCATCCCTTTTAATTCCAACTTTGCCACATTGGTCATCAAAAGTAGGGAATTCCGTCAGAATTGCACTTTTTCAGAAATTATGAAAGTGCATAATCCATGGATAGATGTGCTTTTTGGCAATCTCTGACACATCAAATTTTGTTTTCTATATATATCTTTTTACTTCATTCAGATTAGAGCAGTTTATCCCAATCTGTCACCCTTAATGTTTTTCAGGACTGCAAACTACAGAATTCCCAGTTAGGTTCTAATGGGAATTGCAGTTCTAGCATAACTGAGGGCATCAAACTTGAGAAGATTGAACTAAAATGACACTGTATAAACAAAACTGGTTTTAAAGTCAGTATGCAAAAGTGAACATACAATATTTTTCTTTTTCTTTTGTCTTTATGTATTACTTTTCAGCCATTACTTAAATAATCTTCAAAGTTTATTTCATATTAATCATCCTAACATTTTTAAAAAAACCTATTGAAACTTATATAGGAACTAATATGTGTGTATGCGTATGTTTGTGTGTGTGTGTGTGTGTGTATACACACACACACACATACATATACATATGGCTTTAGACATACATTGTTATATGTATAACTTAGCAACTTCTAAAATTGACATAATAGAATCCAACTTCACCTATTCACATTTCTAATTTTAGTTCAGATTTTGAAACAAGATCAGCATCTTTCTAGATTGCAAAAGGGTGCTTCAAAAGAAGAAATGTAAGTCAAACACATTTAAAATGATTCTGAAAACAATTATAAAAATAAGTGTCAACTCTTTAAAATAAAATTACAATTACAAAACATTTAGGAGCTCTATATTCAAATCTCCTTTAGTGATTTAAAATATCCCCTCCACATTTTTGCAGCAGTTTTGAATTTATTTCATCATAATATCTTATAATAAAAATAACTTGACATGTATATCCTAAACCTTCCACGTCTATATGTAATATGTTTTTGTTAGTCATATAGTATAATACTTGTCACTCCTAAATGAAAGGCTGGCCATTCTCAACATTCAATATCCGATTATCTGATCAACCAGTAATTGTTTCTCATTCTTATTTTTGCTGACTTTTCTCCAGAGTTTCTTAAATATGTCCTATTTCACATCAGTAATAAATATTCAATATTGTTGCATGAGCCTATTGCACCTGTAACAATACATATGTTTCACAGCAGCAATTTTATTACAACTAAATATCGGAATTTATTATGCTTACTTGAGTGTTCAATGAGATGTGGGAGTTTTTTCAGAATGAATAGTGGAGTAATAACTGATAAAATGTATGCTGAGTTTGGGGAAAAGATTGTTGGGAAATTGCCAGGTAGGCTGGAAGGAGAGATCAAGCAAGGGCCTAGCTTAGAGTCCTTGTACAGCCACAAGAGGCATAAGCTTGATCTCCACCCAAGTTTCATGAAGCTTTGGTCATTCCCAGCAGAAGGGTGTCTAAGGAAAATCTTGTAATATAGGTAGAAATCAATAAAGTTGTTTTCTTCAGCTATTTATGAGTGGTTCTGGTTGCTTCGGCCTGACAAGGATAAACAGAAGTTGAATAGGAGGAGAAGGATCAGTAAGTGCTGATAAAACATCATGTTGTAACCTCTATATTATCCATGTCTAGCTTTTCCCACATCTTGGGCATCCTAAGATAATACCACCCAGATGTGTGGGGTTTCAATCCCATTCCAACCCAACCCAACCAGAGACATCAGATTTGAGGCATAATATATTTGACTAATGCCGCTGTATTACAGCCCTGTTTTCAAAAGAGCCCTAGAAACTATTATGGGTATATTATTTAATATACCCAACCATGCACTTGCATTATCAAAAACAAACTAGGGAATTCTTGTAGTAGTGACATCAGGAGAAACTATGGCAAGGTGAAGTTGGGGGATCCTAATTGTGCATAAAGTGATACAGTTCTGGGAAATGTGAACAAGACCTTTACTTTTCAGTCTAGTTGACACAGAAGCCCCTTTCAATATAAAAAAAGTTTGCAATGGGAACAATGCCTTTACTTTCCTATACGTCTCCCAAGGCAAAGCACCAGGTTCCTACTCTTTTGTGAAATAATTACATTATTCTGTAAAATGTTACATTGGATGCCATCTGATCTGATCGTTTTTCAAAAGAGAAGTTTACATAAGATGCCGACTGATTTTTCCCCCTTCAGCTTGACCTCAACTAGAAATAAAATAATTATTCCCATAGAGAATGCCAGTCTACTGCACTTGACACTTCCATTTTCAACACAGATGTCAAAGCAAATAAAGTAGAGGCAATTCCATAGATGTTCCAGATATCCATACAGCAGAAGTCACAAGGTATGAGTCTTTTTTTCCCTTTTTTATCCAGATCAAAGGCAAAAGGACAACAAGGCATTTAAGCTGTGATGAGCAAAACCGAGTATCTGCTGATAAAACAGATCAGGTTGTTAAGGCCTTTGTCTATGCAGAGTTATAATAATGCAGAAGCCTGGTTGAATAGAAATTGGGGGGAAAGAGAACAGAAGGGAAGAAGAGATATATGTCAGTAAAGTCACAACGTCAATACTGTGTATACAGAGGAAGAGATGCACACAGCTTGCCCTTTGAAAGCTTCTCCGTATCTTTGTATTTAATACTGCCAGAGTTAATAACACATTGTAATGGAGTTTAGTTGCAACGGAAACATTCATTCACACACTTCATACAAGGAAGTGCTAGGAGTTTCTACCCTAGAATATCCAGGTAGACTGGAGAGGCCTTGGCCAAGTTCTGAAGGAGAGAGTAGATTTCTTTGATATTGAGTCTCATATGAGGCTCCCGCTGCCAGCACCCAAGCATCAGGTCATATACTTCCTTTGGGCAGGTACGAGGTCGCTGTAGGACGCGGCCCTGAGTAATACACTCAATTACCTGAAGAAAGGACAAGAAGAGAGCCTGTTGATTTGTTTCTTTTGTTGGCAATACATCATTGGCCAATACATACAAAGATAATCTCCCAACATGTTTGTCTAACACTTTTGTACTCTTATTCCTATTTATTTACTTTTAAAAATACCATTTTTTATTTGCACCAGAAATACCCAATAATGACAGAAAGGCAAGGCAAGGCATAAAAAAAATAAATAAAGTCATTCCATTTCATTGATACATTTGGAAAAATGACCTACACTGGTACACAAGGAAGATCTTTCAATATTTCTCTCCTCCTTTTCTTATAATAGTAATTTATTAAACTTATATGCAGCCCAACTCCCAGGGACTCTGGGAAGTTTAAAATAAGAGCTTATAGCTTTTGAATATTTTGATTTTGAGGTTAGGATGTGTTAAGATATTTAAATTTAGTAGCTGGAATAATGAGGTTGGAAAATGATTCAGAACACACAGTTATAGTTGATTGGTTGGAGAGTGCTGGCTCCTGCATGAGGCAATCGGCACTGTGATTGGTTGCTTGGGTTGGAGGAGGGATTTTCCTTTTCCCCCCGCCTTTTCCTTCTGTGTGCTCTGTGATTTACCTCATGATGCTCCTGTTTGCCTGACTATCTTATTTATAGTAAATATAGATGTTAAACATATTTATTTATATAAAACTAGAAGTTTGTGTCAGCATCTCTGACTTCATTTGGACACCTACTGCACAATTCCCTGACAGGATGCTGGCAGCACTGCCGCAGCACAACCTACTCTTGGCTGAACAACTTGGAGGTTGCTGTCAATCCCTTCCTCATCCCTGCAATCTCTGACTTAAAATTAATGCAGGAAAAATTAATTTCCAAATTTTCTTACAGTGAAACCCTTGAAGATATCCTGTGGAAACTACTGTAGATTGGTTTCATGTCCTCTGAAGAGCTTGCTATCGTTATATTTTCATCCTATTTTGACAAAGATGAAGCAGCTGCCAACATTTTGATATTTCCTCATTTTAGCCTATGAACAAATGGTGTTTCAAGGAAAGTTTCAAAGGAGATTGACTCAAGGTGGTTTCTTCTCAGTTTGCAAAATCAAATTAAATCTCTTCAAATCTCCAGTATGAACTGCGTTTTGATTGGCTTTATATAGGGCTTTTGGACTGGCATTGATGCCTGGCACTGATCTTCTTTTTAAGGTTCCACTATAGTTTAGGGACGTGGTGGCTCAGTGGCTAAGACACTGAGCTTGTCAATCAAAAGGTTGGCAGTTCAGCGGTTTGAATCCCTAGTGCCGCGTAACGGGATGAGCTCCTGTTACTTGTCCCAGCTTCTGCCAACCTAGCAGTTTGAAAGCACGTAAAAAATGAAAGTAGAAAAATAGGGACCACTTTTGATGGGAAGGTAACAGCGTTCCGTGCGCCTTTGGCGTTTAGTCATGCCGGCCACATGACCATGGAGATGTCTTTGGACAGCACTGTCTCTTTGGCTTTGAAACGGAAATGAGCACTGCCCCCTAGAGTCAGGAATGACTAGCACATATGTGCGAAGGGAACCTTTACCTTTACCTTACAGAATGGTAACATAGGACAATATCCACATACCTCATTGTTTGAGAGCTGATACCACGGCTGTTTGCCATAGGTAAAGATTTCCCAGAGAACAACGCCAAGGCTCCAGACATCACTTTCCGTGGTGAACTTTCTATACATGATGCTTTCAGGTGGCATCCAACGAATAGGTAACATAGTATGGCCACCAACCTGGTGAAAAAGAAAGAAATTTAAGAGTCTGGGGGAGTAACGAAATACCCAAAGTGGCATGATATTTTATTATTTGGATATGACATATTATGTGCAATGATTACAAGTTCAACTACAGTTATCAAGCATTTTCTTCCAGCTGTGTGCACCATATTATTATATTTAGAGAATTCTGCTGCTGTACTAGAACTGATCTCCATGTGGAAAATACCGTGGGGGAAATTTAAAAGAATCAAAAAGTATTTTCTGTCACAAGTTACTATTGATTTCTAACCTCCCTACACACCCCCCCCAAAAGAAGAGTCAGCTGCCCTTCTTGTTTTATGTTCTCCAGGGAACATGAGGTACAGTGAAAATTGATATTTTTCAGATAATCCCTTCTTCCTGACCAGAATACATGGAATACAATAAACAACCAAAGGTGGACATTGCATTTGCCTAAATGTCAGATTTTGGCAGGAAGCTGGGTAATTAGGAATAGGTTTTCTTTTTTCAAGGCCCGAATATGTGAATGTCTTGTAGCAATTCTAAACCACAATAAAACTCCTATCTTGACCTGCAAAAACTGATTCTGAAACAGCAACAGCAGTACATACTAGTCCGGGGAGGAGAAGCAAACACGCATTTTATTTATGGCTTGCTTTCTCACATTTACTTGTGCTGGATTATAACAATTACATAATCCTATAGTGTAAGTGAGTCAGTTTAGTGTAGCGATGAAGGCATCAGCTTAGAAACCAGGAGACTGTGAGTTCTAGTCCTGCCTCACTCTCTCTCTAGTCACTCTCTCTCAGCCATAAGAAGCAGGCAATGGCAAACCACTTCCAAACACTTCCACTTCCAAACAACCTTGCCATGAAAACTGCAGGGAGTTATCCAGGTAATCGCCAGAAGTCAACTTAGACTCAAAGTCATAAACCATAAACAAATAAACAAACAAATAATAGTCGAAGGATTGATAAGCTTCTCAAGAAGCTGGAAAGCCACTTGTTGGTGATCCTATAATTCTAGGTTTCCTGAACTAAGCAGCATCACATACTGTACATGCATGCATATACCATAAACAAAGCTAAGTTACTGAGTCACAGTGCTCAGCATCCAACATCTCATAAACGGGCTTCCATCATTTGCTGCTACTGTATTTGTAATAGCTTCGAAAGGGCTTAGCCTTTACTTTACACATCTGGGATCTATGTGTGAAGCACTCCTGGTGTTCTCTGTTACTCTAGAGATTTGTTTTGGTTTCTAGAGCACATTACAAGCTGCTTATCATGGGCTGTCAGAGCCAGGATGTGTAAAAAAAATCCCTTAACCGAATCAATATGATCTATGGCTACATATGAAAAGGAGAGCATTAATAATGTATTGTCAGCATGCATACCAGACATAAACACAGATTTCACTTCTGACCTTTGCTCTAAGAAGAGCTGGGATGGCAAACAGCTTTTTCATTTACTTGGTGGTTGCATTCACTTTATTAGAAAGTTTTTTTTAAAAAAAAATTAAACTCACAGAAATATGTGGTTGCACACAAGGAGCATAGGGCAAGTGTCATTAGAACATTATTAGTTGTTAGAGGCTTGGGGCTCATTAAATATTCAGTGGCTTTTAAATCTGTTCATCATGTTGCATCTATAGCTGCAAACCATTCAATGGGTTTTATGGCACAGTCTTTAAAAAATTAATGAAAATGGCTACTGTAAAACGTATTTTTTTCTTTTATTGAGATTTCTCTAGGATTTATGTTTTTCCCCTGCCGTAAGAAATGTAAAAGCCTACAAGTCAGTGAAGCAATATTCCTTCTTATTAACCTGTTTTATTAGATAATGTAGCTCAATAACAGAAATAAATGTAAAAACATCATGTGACTGTTAAGATTATATATACCTAACAATGGGTGGGATGGTGAGAAAAAAATAATTATATTAAAAATATTTAATAGCAATAACACATATATACTGCTTTACAGCCCTCTCTAAGCGGTTTACAGAGTCAGCCTATTGCCCCCAACAATCTGGGTTCTCATTTTACCCACCTCAGAAGGATGGAAAGCTAAGTCAACCTTGAGCCTGGTGAGATTTGAACTGCCAAATTGCAGGCAGCCGGCAGTCAGCAGAAGTAGCCTGCAGTACTGCACTCTAATAACTGCACCACTGCGGCTCATAATGATTAATTAACCAACTTAGCCAACTTAATATCAGAATTATTTTTATTTCTGTACCTTTCATTCCTGTGAAATGACTTGCTGAAGATGAACCTTCTATCCTTATGGCAAAACAAAAATTAAGAGCTCCCCGAGTTTAAAACCTAATTGCAAATTATAACCCTTGTGCGATTCTTATGCTTTCATCTCTAGCTGGCTTTGGTCTCAAGTCTGGATGTTGTGACATTTCACAAAGATTGAGGCTAACTATATACAAAGTATGGATTCGGTTAGGCCCATCTCATCAAGGGCTTGCAGAGGAATTAAAGGTAGAAAGAAACATAGGGGAGATGCTGGCATAACAATCACCTGCCTCACTCAGTTGGCAAGAAATTTGTAAAGGACCAACAGGGACTGGGCTGTCCCAAGGTGCTTTTTTCCAAAAGGTAATTGGACTGAACTGAAGAAGCTTCTTGGATGAGAAGTGAAGTATTTTCAAAGAAAAAAACCAAGAAAGTCCAGTTGCCTTCTGGAAAAATACACCTCTGGGGCAACCATGACCTGGATGAGTGGGAATCAATAGACAGGAATTGAGCTGTTTATTCCACCCCCCACCCCCACCCCCATCTACATAGACAAGCAAAAGCCAATGGTGGGACCTCTGGTTGGAGATGGCAAGAGTAGACAGGATCATATCACTACGATCATTGCACTGTTCCTTTCTTCCACCATTCTCATGCTAATCGGTGGGACTCCTACACTCCTTAAACATGCATCTTTCAGCCTGTTGTAAGGCACCCTCATATTGCAAAAAAAGGGGCTACCTGTTTATAATATAAACCCCTTCTCCCTGCTTACGATTTCATTCATGCTCACTTTAGGGCCACGGTGACAATAAACACTGCCTGCTTTTGTGGGGTGCATAAGAAAGACAACGAGGAGAGCGTTGCTGCATGCTAATTGACACATTTTAATGACTGCCTTCTCTTACTCTCTCTTTGCCCACCCCCTTCTCTAAATTGCTGCTTTGAAGCATGTGCGACTCGCAACCATGGAAACCAAGTCTCTAAATGCACAAAACCCACCACATCAACCTTTGGAGCACACTGCTGGTGAATTTCCAAAAGATACAATAGCTGGGGAGATGGCCACGAGGAGAGTGATTGCCTTTACAGGCATGGCACTATAATCTTGACAGATTTATTTTCTAGAGGATAAAAGCTTGCACATGCATTCTACTAATAAACACTATTTAGCACTGAATGTAGTATGTAGCATCCTAGCAACCATGCTTGTACACCAATAAATTACAATACAAAAACCCCCATCAGAGTTCAAAAGCAGCAGCTAACTTGCCTCCTGTTCCTATACCATGGTAGCAAAATCCCTCTCCCTTTGCCTTCTTTTTCTTTTTTATCTTTTTGAGTTAGTCTTGAAATGACATCAAACGTCAGGTGCAGACATGACAAAACATTGATATCCCAGTAATGCTACTCCTTGAATTGTGGAACTTTTATTTGGTACTTTTGGTGTTGAATGCTAGCATGAAGTATCCAAGGCTTATTTTAATTCATTGATAGCTTATATTCTGATGTTTTAAAGGTCAGGTTACTTAAAAGTACTTCCTACACTTTCATTTACTTCTCTTTTTCTGTATGTAGCAATTTCCTTATAAATGGAGCTCTGAAGTCATAAAATTGCAGAATTAGAATGGACCTTGGAAGTACACCCTCCTGTTCAGTATAGGATCTGAAGCTATTATTTTTTAAACAGTAGAGCAAAATTGACAAAGTTTATCAGTGAAAAGTAAATATAGATTTAATCCAACAGTTAAACATAACATTTGTGCACAGTCAGTGCAATATTATTTTTATAAATCTGTTTCCTCTTTGAAAACATTTCTTCAAGAAACCATAATCCAGTTCCCACAGATATTTAAGTCTCTTTCCCACCATTGTCTCTTGCTGTTTTTCTAGACTTCCTCCACAGTTTCTCCTGTTCTCTTTGAAAGACATTTTTAGAACCTGTTTTTAGAACCTGTAAGAGAATCCTTCTTCTGTTCCAACATAACTTTCATCAGTAACTAAATTCTGCCTCAGTATTTCACATCTTTGTAAAATATGATCAAGCTTTGTGAGTATATATTTAATGCCAGGAAAGGGAAGTATTGACAGCCTTTATATACATTGTAATGTTAAGGGAACCTGTTGACTATATAGGTTATTTAATCAGAGTTAATTATTACTCATTAATAAATTGATTGTTTGCCTACATTTTCCTTCCTTTCTATCTAGCTATGTTACCTCAGATTTATACAAAGAAATGGGAAATAAAAAGATGTTCCAGATAGGTGGTGGCAGCAAAATCAAGAGATTTTTTTAGAGATGTCCCTGGGTTATGAACCAGAGATTCATAAAAGAAGGCAGAATTTTGAACCTTAATCCGATATGCTGCTTAATTCAGAAAATTCAAAATTATAGAATTGCCAGCAAATGTCTTTCTAGCTTCTTCTTGAAAAACCCGTCAATTCTTTGACTACAGGGTTATGTAATTGCTATAATTGAGGAAGGAAGGAAGGAAGGAAGGAAGGAAGGAAGGAAGGAAGGAAGGAAGGAAAGAAGGAAGGAAGGAAGGAAGGAAGGAAGGAAGGAAGGAAGGAAGGAAGGAAGGAAGGAAGGAAAATGTCCTCCATATCAGAGAGAGTATATGACTCATGTTCAGGTGTAAACTTTAATTTTATCTACGAGGAAACAGTACATCTGTTATCTAAAAGATTAACAAAACTGGATCATTCACCCCCACCCACCATCAACACAAACAGGTGAGATTCCTTATAGATCTTGGAACCAGCCTTTGA